TTATTACCCCGTCTTTCTCCTTAAAAGGACCCAAGGCGGTTTACACCATTAAGGCTTCTGTACCCTCCCCGGGTTTTCCTTCCTTCCTTTAGCAACTTCTCCCTTCCAATTTATATCCAAGAATCTCAGATCCGTGAGTATGTGTGGATGGGAAAGGCCCGGATCCTTCTCTCACCCCTCCCCAAGACGCGGGATCTGTCTGGGTTCGGGCGGTGCGTGCCGCGTAAATTAGAAGCCAGATTATCTTTCCCAAATAGACAAAGCCTCATCGGTCCATCGCAAACACTCCGAAGCTCGCTTCCATCCTCATTTTTAATTCCTCCTCTTCTCCCCCACCCCACCCCATTTTTAACCAGGGTAGGGCGAGGAGGAAAGAACCAGGTTGGGAGCGGAAGATAGTGTTTGGTGTTATTTTAATTTAGGAGGGTTGGAAAGACAGCCGAAAGGACGCGGGTCTGTCTCTAAGCTCAACACAATGAAAATATTTCCCTCTGCTTCCCTAAAGTTTGCTTGGGTTTCCCTTCAAGGCACTTTAAAAGAGCTGCAGATCCAGGGCACGTTTTCTGGGGGTGGGGGATGGGGGGTGTTCCCTTGTTTGGCTTATTCTTTAACTCTCAATATTGCGTTGTTGGGGGCGGGCGAGACCCGAACCTTCCATAAGAAGGGTTTTCATTTTTTCCCCTTTTTATTATATTTTTATTTTTATTTTTAAAATCCTCTATACTCTTGAAGACCCTTCCGGGACCACTAATAAGAACATTCTGTTCTTCCGATGCTAGCAGGCCAACCCGAGCCTCTGCTTTTCTCTACTCGGGAGTAAATTCCCCGTCAGGTTCCTTCCCAGCTAATCGCCTGAAAGGATGACAGCTTTGCGCTCGAACCGGAATAAGAATCCCTCCTCTTTATAAACTGATTTTTTAAAAATTATTATTATTATTATTATTTGGGGGGTGGGGAATAACCGAAGCGGAGCAAATCCTATCTAACCCCCACGTTCTTCTCTTTGAGAAGTAAATGGCACGGTCAACAGCCTTGAAGCTGGCGCCGCCGCGGCCACGGAGCCGGTGTCTGGACGTGCCTGGTTTGGCCTCGCAGTTAAAGAGGATTTGGCTTCGGCTGTTTCTCTGGCCTTCCGTGGCAGGAAAGTGGCCTCGTCTCCCGTGGATTCCTCTGCCAGCGATCCTGACGTGTAGAGAGAGGTGTCCTTCGCTTGAATCAGGGAGGGAGCGCAGTTCAAAGGCAGGTTTCGGTGCGGGAGACCCACAGATCTCAAAACTGCGAGATCTATTTGATTTGGGGGGTTTGCTTTTCGTCCCTGTTTTCTTGTGGGTGTCGGTGGGTGCTTCGCAGAACCGCCAGCCGGTGATGGATGCAAAAATTACAATGGCAAACCACCCTAACGTTGGCTCCGAGTTCTAAAGTTGCATCCAGTGGCTAGTCCTTAAGGGAGGCGGGGGAAAAAAAAGGAAGCCGAATTTCATCAAAAGCGTCCTCCGGTCTCCAACGAAGGGGAGCAGCGAAGAGGTGGCGTTTTGCGCCTGCTGTTTTTAAGCCATTAAGGGCAGCGGGCCCCCAGGGAACCCTCCCCCCGCTCCCGCCTGTAGATCCGGTTTTACATCATGCCTACCCAATCTATGGATTCCCACGCAGTACTTTTATTTTATCTTGCTTTATTTTATTTTCAGGTATCAGAATAAGTTTGTCAGTCCATCAGATTTTTAGCAACACAATTCCGCAGCTGGGAGTCCCCTTTATGACAAATCAACACACACACACACAACTCAGTTGTGTCTCCTTACTGCCTTCCACTTTTTCGTGAAAGAACCTTTGCTTCGTTGGGGAAAAAAAGGACCCGTTGCCGAATAAAAAACTTCCCAAGAAAGATCGGGGAAGAAATGTTTAAAGCGATCTATGGGGATTGCGTGCAAGGTGTAAAAAATAATCCATATACTGTAGATTCGGCAGGGAAACGCCCGTAGTCAGATGTCTTGAATCGGGCCCCCATGGCATACATTTGTACTACTTGGGAGTAAATCTCATCCAACCGAGCGTGACTCAATTCGGGAACAAGCCGGGATACGTTTCAGAGGTAGGGGAGTTAATTGTCAGCGGACATAACCATTTAAAACAGTTCTCTCCAACTGTGGCTCAGCGCACGTCTCCTCCTTAGGATCGGGCGCACTAAAGAGCGCAGGAAAATAAAATTCTCCCACGGCGGCCCAAATTCCTTAGGAGCCATTCTTCGCATTCAGCCCCACCGGCGAGGACCCCCGAATCTAATAAAATCGAGCCATAAGGGACCCTTGCAGAGAGACGTCCTGTGTTTTCTTTTTGGGGGGGGGAAGAGCACACGATTATGCGCTGATGTATTTACAGAAACAAACACCACGTGCCAAGCCTGCTTTTCGTTCTATTTCCAAGCACCCCCTTTAAAAAAAAAATCCCTCCCTCTCTTCCCATCCTTAACCTCCAGTCCCAAACTGGGCCAGACGGAAGTGCTGCCTCGTTTTCGCGCAATCTAAGGCGCAAATGCGAAAGTCACCTGCAGGTGGTCCGTGGCAAATCGCGCATAGGGGCATCCCCAAAGAGGATGGCCTGAAACGAAATCCGAAAAGGGAGGCGAGAGCACACACACACACACAACCCGAAGCTCTGCTCCAGCCTTTAGGAAGAATTCCCACTCATTTCCACACAACACACATACACACCCCTTCTCGCCCGCTCTCTCTGCCTTTCCCTTTGCTTTTTCCTAATATCGTTTGTTTTCCTTTGAAACAAAAGAGGCACAAATCCCTTCGCCCCACCGAGCGCTTAAGAAGTATTGTCCGTTTCCAAGGAGACACGAAGAGCAGCTATTTATTTATTTTAAATCCGGTGTTATTTACTCCCCGGCTTGCTGTTGCCTTCTTGTATTTATCCT